AGGTAATAATCAAAAAGGAAGGTAAAATAACTATGGCACATTAATGAGAAATAATACTAACAGTATCTTTAAAAAGAGTGACATAGCTGGTTGTGGTGGCACACACTGGTAGGATTTGCTGAAGGAGGCAGAGGCAGGAGGATCATGAGTTCGAGGCCAGCCTGGGCTTTAAGAAAAAAAAGAGTGAAGTAGAAGTGGGGACTCAAACTCACAGAACTTGCCTTTTCTGCCTCCCAAATGCTGGGAATTAAGGAATTCCCCACTACACCCAACATAAATCTTTTAAAAAAGATTTTATTTTTGCCAGGCGGTGGTGGTGCATACCTTTAATCCTAGCACTTGGGAGGCAGAGGCAGGCAGATCTCTGTGAGTTCCAGAGGTATGCACCTGTGATTCTAGAAAAAAATTTAAACTTTTGTTCTAAAAATGTTTAGCATTATATTTTATGCCTTTGAATTTGTTTTGATCAAAATTTTTAAATAGAGAGATATAGTTATATTTGTATGTTAAAAAAAGGACATTGCTATGCTCAAAATATATTTAGAGAAGGTAATTGGAACAAGATAAGAAATTGGGAGGTCAATGAGAAAGCCAATGATGGTGGTTTGAACTAGGTGTGGTTTCTTAATGTGTGGGGTATTGAGAAGGTAATTACTTTGTTCTTTGCATCTTGGTAAAGAGGCCTTTTGCCTTCCCCATCCTTTCTAGATTGAGGTATATAAAGGCTATGAGAAATAAATACGAGGCAAATCCCAGTATTTCCCGAATGCCCTCACGACTGTTGTCTATCTCTTTCTTAATCTTCAGCCTTCCCTCCAAACATGGATGAGTAGGCCGTATGGGACCTGGTAGTCGTCACCAAGACGCGTATACAACAAAATATAAAATACATGAAACAATACCCCTTTAAAAAACAAACAAAATGAAACAAATAAACCAAAAATCAAAAGTCTGCTTGCTTGACTTCTCCCACATTTGTTCTCTTAGGTTCCTAGAGTTTCAAGGCAGTAAGGTTTCTGGGTGGGGGTATGTAGGGTGCAAGGGTTACTCACATAGAAATGTCTCTTTTTCCAAGGTGTCCGAGATCAAATTGTCTCTTTCTCCAAAAGAGCCATTCAACATGTACCGAGGACTAGTCTTCCAAACACGCTGATGAGCAGCAGAATTTGGTAGATTGCCTTTCTGGGCTAAGAGTAAGTGGTTTAGTTCAAGTTGTTTGTACAATGGTTCAGTATCTCTAGGGATGGGATCACTATAGCAACCCAGCCACTCAAACCATGACTTTTATCATCACTGTTCAGCACCAACTTTTATAATATCCCATTCTTAAAAGATCTCTCACATTGCAATTTATGCAAAGTGAGAATAATGATTCCCATTTGGCAAGAGAGGAAAGAGAGTAGAGATGAATACCATGGTATACTGTTGGTTTTAGAATAGTGTTCAGAAGGCAGAAAAACTCAGTGGCTCTAAGAACTGCTAAGAGAGCCAAAACCAAGTGAAAGCCAGTACCGGAGTGGGAGCAAAGTACTGTACTGAGGGCAGAAGCTTCTGTCCCACCAGCAGCTCCCAAATAAACACACTGGGGCTTATATTAATTATAAATGCTTAGCCAATAGCTCAGGCTTACTACTAACCAACTTTTAACATTTCCTATCTATGTTTTGTCATGTGACTTGGTACATTTTTATCTTGCTTCTCTCTGTTTCTACTGGTGACTCCAGTCTCTGCACTTCTTCCCCCCAGGATTCTCAGTTTGGCTCTCCTGCCTAATCTTAACCTGTTTAGCTATTGGCCAGCCAGCTTCTTTATTAAACCAATCACAGAGACATATATTCACACAGTATAAATATTTGTAAATATTCCACATTGTACCAAAAGCCTTTAAAAAATAGTCTTATTATAAAGCCCTGGCTGTCCTGGGACTCACTATGTAGACCAGGCTGACCTCAAACTCATAGAGATCCACCTGCCTCTGCCTCCCAAATGCCAAGATTAAGGCATTCACCGGCACATTCAGCTTCAAAGCCTTTCTGTGCTAAGGACACTGAATGAATCTGACAAACTGAAGTTCTCTTTTCAACAAATTAGTCCTAAAGTAGAAATTATTAATAATAATGTTGAACAAGGTTATCAGAATTACAATCAATATTAAGCTGGCCATGGTGGATAGACAAAGATTAAGTAGGATTGTAAGTTCAAAGTCAACTAGAATACATGGCAAGACTTTGTCTCAAAACATCTAGAGTTGTAGGTCCAGTTCAGTAGTAGAACACCTTCCTAATAAGTGCAAGCCCCCAGGCTTGCACTCTAGAACTGCAAAAATAAACAAGAAAATAAAGCTGTATATTGAGGTGGAGACCAGCCTGGGTTACAAGTGACCCTGTCCCAAAAGACCAAAAAATAAATAAACAAAAATGAAAACTCATTTTTGACATGGTGGGACACGCCTTTAGCTCCAGCACTTAGGAGGCAGCAATTGGATCTCTGAGTTCAAGGCTGTTCTGGTCTACAAAGTGAGTTCCAGGACAGCCAGTATTGTTGCACAGAGAAACCCCATCTCAAAAAACCAAAACCAAAACAAAACAAAATGTCACTCTAGAAAATTAATTTCTGGGCTGGGCGGTGGTGACGCACGCCTTTAATCCCAGAGGCAGACAGATCTCTGTGAGTTTGAGACCAGCCTGGTCTACAAGAGCTAGTTCCAGAACAGGCTCCAAAGCTACAAAGAAACCTTGTCTCAAAAAACAACAACAACAACAAAAGAAAATTAATTTCTGGCTGGCAAGATGAAGATGGCTCAGGGAGGAAAGGTCCTGGCTGCAAGGCCTGAGAACCTGAGTTGAATCACTGGGGGTGATGTTGGAAGGAGAGAACCAACTCCTGAAAATTGCTCTCTGACCTCCATGTGGGAACAATGGTATGTGTGAACACACATTCACAAACACAAAAGATATGTAATAAAAGTGAAATTCCTTGTCTTTTTGTAGCTGAGGATGATCTAAATTTCTGGCTCTTACTGCTCTTTCAGAGGACCCACAGGCGCTTTGCAACCATTTGTTACTCAAATTCTGGCCTCTAAAGGCACCAGACATGGACAGAGTAAGCACACATACATGCAGGGAAACACACTGTGCTGGATAGTTTTATGTCAAGGTGATAGAAAGGAGGGAACCTCAGTGAAGAAAATACCTCTATAAAATCAGGCTGCAGGTAAGTCTGTAGGGCATTTTCTCAATTAATGATTGATGACAGAGGGCCCAGTCCACTGTGGATGGTCTCCTTACTGGGCTGGTGTTCTAGGTGCTTTTTTGGAATTTACTCTATAGATCAGGCTGGCCTTGAACTAAGGCTGGCCTGCCTTTGCCTCATAAGTCCTACGATTAAAGGAGTGTATTACTAGACTCAACTGGTCTTGGGTTCTGTAAGAAAACAGGCTGAGCAAGCCATAGGGAGCAAGTCAATAGGCAGCTCCCCTCCATGGCCTCTGCATCAGTTCCTGCCTCCAGGTTCCTGTCCTGGCTAGATGAGTTCCTGTTCTGACTTCCTTCAATGATGGACTGCAGCGCAGAAGTGTAAGCCAAATAAATCCTCTCCTCCCCAACTTGTTCTTTGGTCTGTGTTTCATTGCAGCAATAGAAACCCTAAGACATGCGCACACAAATAAAAACAAATCTTTTTAAGAGGCATTTAACTTGTATGATGGTTTGAATGAGGATAGCTTCCATAGGTTCATGTGTTTGAATACTTCATGGAACTGCTTGGGAAGGATTAGGAGGTATGGCCTTGTTGGAAGAGATGTGTCACTGGGGTTAAGAGTAAGATTTAAAAAGACACATGCCATTCCCAGTGTATTTTTTCCCCATGAAATATGAGTTCTCAGCTCTGGAACCATAAGCCTGATTAAATGATTTCTTTTATAAGTTGCCTTGTTCATAGTGTTTTAATCACAGCTATAGAAAAGTACCTAATACGATTTAGGGGGCAAAGGTAGGAAGACTGCATGTTTGCAGCTGGCCCAGATGAACCATGCAGTTCTAGGGTGTAACCCTGTCTTAAAAAAGAGACAACATTTGCTCTCTGCACACTGACTTCCCAGGCCTGTGCACACCCCCTCTAATAAATTCCTAAGCCGGTGTGGGGCAGAGGGGAGAGAAACATTTATAGTAATACAAAAATGGAAATACTATACAAAATCTTTAAATATGCCCTGGGCATGGTGATTCTCATTTGTAATCCCAGTGCTTTGGAGGTAGAGGCAAGAGGATTTCAGCTTTGTCTACTTAGGAAATTATAGGCCAGCCAGGGTACACAGCAGGATTTTGTCTTAAAACAATAGCAAATGGGCCCACTGTTTTAACAGTGCTTACTGATCTTTCAGAGAACCCAAGTTGGTTTCCATCACCTACACAGTAGTTCATGAGCATCCATAACTCTAGTTCCAGGGGCCCCAACCTCCTCAGGTACACCCTACACACACACACACACACGGTGCACATACATACATGTAGGCAAAAAACACCCATATACCTCACAGTGCTGGTGCACAACTTTACTCCCAGGAGGCAGAGGCAGATGAATCTCTGAGTTCAAGGCCAGCCTGGTCTGTAGAGTGAGTTTCAGGACAGCCATGGCTACACAGAGAAACCCTGTTTGAAACAAAACAAAACAAAAACCTCACCGCCACCAACAAAAACAAACAAACCATTTTCCTAATAAATTCCAACTCTGCTTTACAAACAAAAAGATCAGTATGGGGAACTGAGTAATCTGGTATATACAGACTGTCTCAAAAAAATCAACAAGCGAATAAATACATGCATAAATAGAAGGTTTCAAGGTACTGGGAATTGGATGTAGCCCTGGATAATGTTAGACAAGTGTTTTACCATTGTACACCTCACTTCCCATTCCAAATGATTTCTTTTTAATATCACAAACTAATTTTAACATTTACATCCAGAGGACTGAGATGTGGCTCAGCAGGGTGCTTGCAGAGCACACTATAGTGAACAAAAGTCCAATCTCTAAAACTAAAAGACAAAAAGAAGAGAGGAAAGCAAAGACTCAAGAAAAGGCTAGATGCTTTTGAAGAACAAGGTGAAAGGAAATGACTCTCCAGATAGCAAGACTATAAACAAACTGGGCATAGTGGTGTAAGAGGCCTGTACTACACAGTGAGACTCACCTATATAAGAACTATTTGAATGTCATACGACAATTCAGAGATGGTAGTTATTAGTGCACCAGTAGAAAACAGGCTAACAAATTGAAAAGACTAGAGGAAACATTTGTACTTTTATATATAGCGAGGCTGTCCCTAGACAGAGGGACACGAGAGATCAATAGGGGTAGCAGGTGCTTTTCAACTAATCAACTAGAAAAAGGACTCCAGTCTTAACCACAGTTCTTTCAGTTAATGCCACAGGTCAGCTTGGTGATGCCTGGAAAGAAACAAATGTTATTACCTTTAAAGTATCCATAATACTGGAGATGATGGTGCATAAAATCCTCGTAGGGATCAGGAAGAGTCTGAAAGAAAAGGTATTCTCAAGCAGAACATGTCATTCAGATGACACTGAATTCTTAGCAACAAGTGTCAAACATGCTTCACAGGATACGGTAACAAAACAATCCATGCAAATATCGAGTTATGCTGTCTCTAACAGATCTGGAGTACTAGCGGGTGTAGAGCACACTAGGAATTACAGCGCCAGGGAAACAGAGGTAGGAGGAGCAAGTTCAAGGCCAGGCTGGGCAACAGAGTGAGTTCCATGCCAACCTGCGCTACACAGCAAGGTCACGTTACCTACCTACCTCCCCAAAAGCCAAACACAAAACAATCTTCCAGTTGGACCAGCAGGCCACCACAATGAACCTTTTGGTCTAGGATTAAGTTTCTGTGAAGTTTTGGAAAGGGGAGTGTACCGACCTCCTGCTTCAACTCTGCGTCCAGCGCTGGGAACATGTTACTGCCACATAGAAAAATGTAGGCGAATCAGTAGCACCGCTGCCAGCTGCAACCTCTACCTAATTTCCAAAAAGGGAGCTGATTACACCAAAGTCTCAAATCACAGCAGGAAGGTGGAAAGAAACCAATCCAAACACACAGCAACACCAAAGAACACCAATCTGTTGCCCTTCACACTCACAGCCTTTCGACTTCAGGGCAATCCTGCACGCACCTGTGCAGTCAGGGCGCACTGCGAGTCCCCGTGCTTCGTCCTCTAGACTTACCGGGACCCTCGCTGGCCCCATGCTGTGCTTACACTGAGAAGAGATGCTCGGACACCGGGAAAGGTCAGGAGGTCGAAAGCAACCGGTCCTGGAAACGTTCGTTCAGTTGTGAGTGTCCCACTCCAGAGAATGTGACCGCTGTGGGGAAAGCCCACGGCGATGCAGAAATTCCCACCAGAGCTGGCAGGGACCCGCGCGCCCAGCTCCCATACCCCGCCACTGCCACTCCGGCTGCAGGGGCCTGGAGAGGGCTGGCCCAACGCTCGTCAGTACCCTGCCCTCCTCATCCCAGGCCCGCCGTCTCCACCCTCTACTTCCTTTATCCCCTACCCTGCTCGCCTCCTGCCTTCCTCACCCCCTACTCTTCACCCCACCCCCCACCCCCTTCCCGCCTGGGATACACTAACTGGCTCCTTCGCAGACCCAGCCCATCAGTTCACCTGCGGAGCTTTCCGCGCGGACTCTGGCAGCCTAGCAACCCGGAGCCAGAAGCGGAAGGAGGGCAGGACCCCGCCCTCAACCTGCGATGTCAGGCTATTTGTTTCACACATCAAGGACCCAGGCTGGGAACAGTGCCAGGAGAGTTCACCCTATTTTCTAACTTCTGTAGTTTTAATAATTTCCTGTTTAGGGGGGAGCTGTAGCAACCAAACAAGCTTTATTTAAACAGGGAGAGCAGATCAGTCCTAGGAATCAGGCTCATTCTAATTTACAGCTTTCCTTCTCCCTTTGACAAACTTAAAACAGCTTCCTTTCCACTTTTTCTTGATTTGGCTTAAAATACAAGTTACTCCTTAAAAACTATTTCTCTCTGGGGCTGGAGAGATGGCTCAGTGGTTAAGAGCATTGCCTGCTCTTCCAAAGGTCCTGAGTTCAATTCCCAGCAACCACATGGTGGCTCACAACCATCTGTAATGGGGGTCTGGCGCCCTCTCCTGACCTGCAGGCATACACACAGACAGAATATTGTAAACATAATAAATAAATATTTAAAAAAAAAAACTATTTCTCTCTCCCTGTTTGCATGCAGATGCTCGTAGAGGCCAGAAGATTTCGGTCCCCAGGGAAGTGTCTTGCCCTTGTGAGCCCTCTTAAGTAAGAATTGGATGCTGGGAACAAGACTCTGAGCTCAAAGACATCTCTCCAGCTGCCTCCATCTATTTCTCACTACATGTTTAAAAGAAGATGCTCGTAGAGGCCAGAAGATTTCGGTCCCCAGGGAAGTGTCATGCCCTTGTGAGCCCTCTTAAGTAAGAATTGGATGCTGGGAACAAGACTCTGAGCTCAAAGACATCTCTCCAGCTGCCTCCATCCATTTTTCATAGAATTATGTTTCCGTGTGGAGTTCTTTCCTTCCACCTTTGTATGGGTTCCAGGGACTAGCAGATGTCAGCCAGTCAAACCCAAACCTTTTAGGCTATCCAATCAGCCCTTATTCTTTAAAAAATATATTTTTCAAAAAAAGATTGATTTTCATGTTGTGTACGTGCACGTGACTGCAGGAACGTACTGCCAGAGATCTCCCTAGAGCTGAAGTTACAGTTTGGATGTGTGTGCTGGACTGCTCTTAAGTGCTGAGCCACCTCTCCTGCCCCACTGTTCCTTTTTGAGGCTTGTTCAAGGATTTGTGTTAAAGATGTCCTATTTTAAGTTTGAACCTTTTCTTGGCTGGAGAGCACAGCACTGGTTTCTCTTATAAGTTCAGTCTTCAGCACTCACATGGGTGGCTCACAACCATCTTCAGTTGTACCCCTACAGGATCCATGCCCTCTTCTGGTGTGCAGACATGCACGCAGACAAAACATCCATAAACATAAGTAGACCTTTAACAACAGCAACAAAAAGTGAACGGCCTCATAAAAGCTGAGGTCAGAATCTTGGATAAGCTATTCAGACAGGCCAGACTTGCAGGCTAGAATGTCATCTCAACTAGTGATGATACGGGCCAGCTACTGAACACTTTTACTCTTTGTTCTCTACCTTCTAACCTTCTAGCTAGAATGAAACAAAAATCCTCTAAACAAAAACAAAAAAACCCAAAAAACTAACAAACTAGTTAGAAACTAAGGGGGCAAAGCCAAGCCCTGGGCCACCCATCCGGTCCCTTATGGGCTCAGCAGCAGGGTAGTAAGAAGGCTGGTCTCCCCAGCAACAATCACACACCTGGAAAACTGTTAACTAGTTAAGACAAGAACTTTAACAGCTAGTTGATAGCCTTTATTTATAGAAATTTAACTATGCAGATTACAAAACAATTTTAGGTACAAAATGGGCATCTCAGCATTAGCACATGATAAATAAAATCTAGTACACTATAATACAAAGTAAAAAATTTTAACTGCATAGGAATACTAGAATAAAATCCAAACTATTTGTCTTTGGTTAACTATTGATTATAATCTTAAGTATCTATTATTTTCCATAATCAGCTTTTTATTACCTATAAAAAAAAAAGCTAGAAAGCACCTTCCTCCCCATATTACATTGTTCCCAGGACTCGGACAGGTCAAATATTAGTAAGAATGGAATGTAAGCCCTATCAGCATAGTCACACAAGGCTCCACCTTGTTTAAAATCTGTCCCCGTATATCTCCAAGATGCTATTTTTTCCTGATGTTCAAATGTCAGTGTATGCTCTGTGCCATGCTTGGTCACAACAATTAAGAATGGAATACACTAGGTCCTGGTATTATAACTGCAGGGTAACATGCTTACAAGAGTGAAAGGATAACCAGTCACAAGTATAAAAAGAGCTTTATTAGTGCATATATACAAATTTACAGTGTCAGAAACTGGAGAAATACAAACAGCTTTAAGACACAATTTGCTTTTTCTTCAGTTAAAGTGACCTTTCTTGATTGTGATACAGGAGAAAGCACACAACAGTGGACTGCTTCTTAAACACTGGAATCTCACGGAGAGGGGAATTTCTGAAGTGGGTAAAACAATGCTGACAGTACACAAAGTGGCCTATTTTAGGGGAATTTCTCACAATCAAGGATCTGAACACCTGCAGCTGCTACTCTGCGTGCCTGTCAATATACCACCTGGTATGAAATGAGTGCCGTAGGGTTTCTGAGAAAATGTGGCCGTCAGCACGATCTCAATACTTCAGGGGCAGCAGACTCGAGGAAGAGGTCAAAGATTCTGATGGTCAAGCAAGATAGGATACAGAGCTGCCTTCTTAATTGCACTTGTTGTGGAGCAGAAGGTAAGGAGAATATCACACTAGGAACTGAACGAGCCTCTAGTGGGCATTTCCTTTTGCCAGTGAGTCCTATACTGAGGTTTCATGCCCATGACTCCCATGTTCCTCAAGACTGACTCATATCTAACATGCTAAGCTTGCCAGTGTGAAAAGAGACAGTCAGGGCAAAGCAATTCCAAACACCCCTCCTTCAGCAAACAGAAAACTACATCTCCTCAACAGACAACTTAATATGCATGGGTTTTGTCCAGGATGTTCTTCCTCATAACATTTACAGTTCATCTGACAACAGCTTAGAACTGGTTAAGACTTTAAACATAAAACAAAAACTAAAAAAAAAAAAAAGGTGTTTTTTTTTTTTTTAAATTAAAACTATGTGTTGGGGGCCATTTTCCTTCTCTTCAGTCTTGCTCGCCAATCCTCAGGAAGGGCTTCAAAATTTGCATTTCTTTCTGCCATGCCACTGTGAAAACAATATGCATGTTACTACTTCACTGGAAAGAGAAGAGAATCTTTTTTATTTTTATTTTATTTTTTTTAGAAATAAATACTGAAACTGAAAACTGGATCTCACGTCCACTCAGGAAAATGTTTCAAGTTTCTCAGCAAAGGAGCAGTGTATTCTTCATGAAAGACTGTGATGTTAAGAATACGACTACCCCAAGATTAGCACAAACCCTTCCCATCAGGAACTACACTCCATTTACCTGACCAGCTGCTGCTGTTTCCACTCCTCGATTCGCTTCTGTGCAGTGGATTCCCGGTCCTCTTCACTGGAACTCGAATTATCCTCCTCATCTAACTCCCGCTGGATACTCTGCCATTTCTTTACCAAAGATGGCATTTTGGTTTTACTTTTCTTTGCCTAAAACAAAGTTACAGATCAGAAGATGCACACGGGAAACAGGTCCTTTATACTGACAATCAAGATCTCTCCCTGGAACCGAGGGATAAATGTGGCACTGGAAGCGACCAGAACCCAGGCTTACAAGTATGAAGGTGGTGTGTGCAGACAATGTTGGAACACTAACTTCTGGCATGGCATAGATGTTCTATGGAACTCACAGTCGCTGGATTGTCTATACAAGATTAGGCCTATTAACAAGAGCTTGTCATGAAGAGGGCAAGGGCTTACAGGGCCCCACCCTTCTCCGAGGATTTATACACACAGTTAACAGTTGATAGAGGAAGGAGAGTCTTTTTGGTGGTGAAGGCACCTGTAAAGTGCTCAAGCCCCTATAAGCTATAAAATTCACTGGGTCATTATAAAAAGAAGCCAGGTATGGTGGCAAAAGCCTTTAACCCCAGCATTCAAGAGGGAGAAGTAGGTGGATCTCTGATTTTGAGGCTAATCTAGTTGGGATAAGTGAGATTCAGTAAATCCAGGGCAACTCAGAGAAACCCTGTCTTAGAAACAAAAAAGACTTGCAAGTAAAACATAGGCGCGGGGAATAAACAAACAAAAAATGTAGACAAGTTGGGAGGAGGAAGTGAGCCAGTGGGAGAAGGAATACAAAAAAAATGGTGATGGGGATGTGTGGGTATGTTCAAAACATCATGCATTAATTAATACATGTGTAAAATTTCTTAAGAGGGGCTGAAGAGATGGCTCAGTAGTTAAGAACATTTGTTGTTCTTTGGAGAACTGGATTCGGTTCCTACCACTCATATCAGGGACTCATAACCACCTGTAGTCCAGTTCCAAGGACCCTGACACTCTCTAGTCTCTGCAGGGACTTGTGTATACATAGGCCTGCACGCACGCGCGCACACACACACACACACCATAAATAGAAGGAAACAGAGAAATCATTTTTAAAGAAGTGCTTAAAAACGATTAATTGGGAAGGGGATGGAGGGACAACTCCGCTTACAGCTCTTCCAAAGGACCTGGGGTTGAGTCCTAGCACCCACAAATGGGGACTTACTGTAAAGCCAGTTGTGGCCTTCATGAGCACCAGGCACATAAGTAGTACACAGACATACATTTAGGCAAAAAACATTAAAAAAAAATTTGGTGGGGGTGGGGTGTGAGTTGAGACAGGGTCTCACTATGTAGCTGTCTG